CTTAGATTTGCAGATTAGACATTCGGGGGTGGTTTTGTGTGTTTTTATGGGCATCTGTGTGTCTTTACATGTTTTTACTTCTAATGAAAATGAGCTGCTACCAGTCTCTGGGTGAAACCAACCGGTCAATCCAGCACAGCATTGTTACCTATCTACCATCAAGACCAGCCAAGATGGCGGAGTAGGAGGAAGCACAACCCAGCTTTCCCCCAAAGTTCTAGAAAACTCACTAGACCGAATCCTAATCAGTAGAGCCAAGAAAACAAAATATAGCGAGGCATATTTCCAGCCCAGTTTGGCAAAGGAAGAGAGGAAAATCTGCAAACACTGGGGACCAGATGTAGCCAGGAGCAGATCTCTAAACAAAGCCTCAAAGAAGAACATAGCTTGGCTACAAGTTCAGCTGGAATTCCTAGAAGAAATGAAGAAGAGTCTTTTTTATTATTTAAAATTATTTTATAGGTTAAATGAGTGCACTGGGAAAAATTAGAAAAGAAAGGAGAGTTATGGAAGAAAGAATTAGAAAAAGAATTAACAGCTTGGCACAAGAGGTATAAAAGCTTGCTAAAGCAACAAGAACTCTGAAAATTAGAGTGGACAAAACAAGTTACTGGCTGCAGTAGTTTAAAAGAGATATTGAAACAAAGTCAAAAGACTGAAAAAATAGAAGAAAATAGAAAGTATCCCATATGGAAAATAACCGATCCCTTTGTAAAAGCTAATTGATACCAATCGGCTAATCAATGTGGGAAGGACCCTACTGGATAGAGGCTCATACGTGGTCATTTCAGAAGTCAGGAATCCTTGGGTTTATTCTTGGAACACTGACAGCATGAGTAGTCAGCCACCCTCTGGGAACACAACCAGCCAACAGTGTGAATTGGGCCAGTGGCCCCGAAGAGGGGCAGATTCTTTTCAAACAAAGTGTCTTTCATCCACACATCAAGATTGTTAAGGATTCCTTACAAGATATAACAACAGAAATAATGTTGGTCAGTGACTCTGCTGATCAATATCAGGCAAGGCATCTGTGGTAGGACCAGGGTTCCCACCCACCACCTACCACCCATTTCCCCACAACAGGGATTTGTTTTCCCTAAAAGGCAACAAAACTGTCCTTGTGGCCTGATTGGCTTCTGTCTCTCTGGACACAGCTTCCTGGTCACCTAAGGATATAAAAAAATCCCACCCACATGGAACTGGCCCAGCTTTATTACCACCATTTGCTTAAGACAAGGATATCATGTAACTAGCTCTGACATCAATGGTTAATCTACAAATTCCAGCTCTATCCCCAGTGTTCATTGTTTTACCTGATGCAAATCTTCCCCCTCTGCTGCTTTTTGATATCTAAATCATTCCCTTCCGTTCCGACCTCAGTAAGATTCCATTGCATCCATCCATCCTACAGCCCCAAAGCCCGCAGTCCTTTTTCCGAAGAGGACCAGTGACATCATGAGTGTGTCTTCATTTGCACGTGAATTGGGTTTAAGGGAGGCAAAGTCATGCAGAGTTGTCCGCCTCTCTCTTCCTGAGTCCTTGAAGTCCAGTGGCAAGACAAAATCAGGGCAACTGGCGATGGCCAGAGATGCAACAGATGACCGTGGCATCTTCGATGTCTGGCCAAGCTTCCAGCGCTCCATAGCACCTGCTTCGGCTGCCTTCATGGCCATTGGTAGAAATCATTCTCATTCACTACCGGGGAAGTCTTCACACTCTTGGGGTAGACATCCCCGCAAGTCACTGGGCAGGTTTGAGGCCTATGGTTACCCTCAACCTGGATTAGCCCTGAGGTGGTTTTACCGGGGTGTGTCCACTGCACATGTTACAGCTTCTTGGAGCCCCAGGTGAGGGCTGGGTGAGAGGTGGACACCAAAGGTGGAAAGTGGCCCTGACAAGGGCTCAGCAGCCATCCCACCAGAGAGGCTAACCCCCCCCAGCCCCTCATACACCCCACTGAAAACCTATATGATGCGACTGAAACTGCTGCTCATACCCCGATGACTGTTGCATACTGTGGGTCTGTGCTCCAAGTAGTTAACAAACTAGGTTTTTACATATTTCTGCATGCTGAGAGATGGGATTGGCAGCAGTACTTGTCAATGAATCCCGGACAATTTCTGCCCACTTCTGCCACTACTGCCAGGCCATCAGAGGCCAGGCTTAGGAGGAGCCCAGCTGTGCGCCCCTGGGAATGACCATTAGAAGCCAGGCTTAGGAGGAGCCCAGCTGTGCACCTGGAGGAATGA